CACAGACCCCCGTCAAGACACCAAACGGACCAAGCAGACCGACAGCCGGCCAGACGTCTGTCGCACATGGCCACCGGACCGCCCGTGGCAGATCGGAGGCTGGTCGTCGACAGAAGGTAGAAGTAGGAAGATACTTGTTGCGTCACCACCCACCAGGTTCCGGACCCCTCCCAAGGGCAATAGTCTGCCGCCACAACATGCTAGCTCAAACCCCTTCTCGTGCCACAGTTGATGTTCCCACACATCGAGCCCACGTTCCCATGCGCGATTCGGCCGGATACAGAAAAGTCGCCGCTCACCGGCTAGACGAGCGCAACTACGAGACATAAATTACGCCCGAATGGGTTGCGCCGGGTCCCCACGACGACAACATAGGCGTCCCGGCCCTAACTAACGCTAACGATCACCCCTCACCTTCGACACGACAATCGGGTAAGGCCAAAGCCAGGACACAATCACTTGTGGTGGCCCTGAAGAGGGCCGTCATCACGTTCTCAGTGGGACTGCGGCCTTAAGCCTTGGTTGTCTTCTCCGTCTTCTTGGGCAGGAGGACGGATTGGATGTTCGGGAGGACACCACCCTGGGCGATTGTCACACCTCCGAGAAGTTTGTTCAGCTCCTCGTCGTTGCGGATGGCAAGTTGTAGGTGACGGGGGATGATCCTGGTCTTCTTGTTGTCACGGGCAGCGTTGCCGGCCAACTCGAGGACTTCAGCGGCCAGGTACTCAAGCACAGCAGCCAGATAGACTGGTGCTCCAGCACCGACGCGTTCGGCATAGTTGCCGCGGCGCAGAAGCCGGTGCACACGGCCTACCGGGAACTGGAGGCCAGCACGGGCCGACCTGGTCTTTGCCTTTGCGCGAGACTTGCCACCTTTGCCGCGACCGCTCATGATTTTCAGAGAGACGTGATTTGGTCTGGCCGACGGATGCGCGTAGTATATGTAGGAAACAGTTAGTCAAGGTTTCCCTCAGCCTAATGCTGATTGGACAATCCATTGATGACAATCTTGACAGCGACATTTTATTGGACCAGTCCTCGTCTAGGTTATAACCAATTAGAACCGAGCTAGGGGCGCCGGCTTGTACACCGAAGCCATGACCGCCAAACCCCGGACTTGGCAGCTCCAGCTAGGCTACTGTGGGTCGCGTTGGTGGGCCTTGGCACGATGGACAGTAGTGCCATCCTTAATTTTGCTAAGGTGTGTGTGAATTATCCTCAGGCTCGGACGTGTTTAAAACCCCTTATGTGTGCTAGTCAGGTTCATAAGGTCGTGAAGGCGGAGGAAATAGCTCGCAATCGTTCCCTCCGAAAACAAAATGCAACAGAAGTGCTAATAGGAAAAAAAGGAGTTGTCACCATTCGGGTAACCTAAACTGCCAGTGCAGTATGCGTGGGAGCATTGTTACTCCCTTTGCCTTAGGGAGACGATGATAATGACTCGGACCTAGCTAGAGTGCCCGCATAACGCGGCTGTCGGTAAGTATACCGGAAATGGCTATGAGTAGGTCCTCAGGAGACTTATCCGCTGCTCATGGGGTTTGACTCAGGGACAACGGGTTGGTGAACCTCATCTGGAGGCTCGCGGCGTAGGTAAGGTGTGACTTGTGACATGCAGAGGTCGTGTAGTCGGGCACAAATATGTATTGCCTTATACTTCTCCATGCAATATAAACATCACTTACATTAAAGGAATTGCAAAGCATGCTGACGTCAGCAGCACCCTAAAGGTCAGAGAAGCTGGTGTAGTAGTAATTGTATAGTACCGTGGTCGGAATGGAAGCTATGACGTCTTCAATCTATATAACAACTAACTGGACCCGGTCACACGTTGCTGTGGCTCATTCCGATGAAAACAGCTAAGAAAAGAGGCATAGGGCGCGTTTCTAATATGTTTAATTACATAATGCTTGTGGGTATACAATAGTTTTGTTGATGCGTTGTCTGTGCAGGCATGAAGATCGTCCGGTTAGCCGACTCTGGGGCACGCAACTTATAAGTGTCCAGGTGAGAAACAATCCGTTTGCGGATCCAAACCACGCAGTTCTAGACATTGACCCTAAGCTTTCCTGATCATGATTGAAAAGAGCAATGGGATCAGGAATTCCAGTGGCCTAAATTGAAATGGCATATCAGTCGGAATCAGTGGAATGAGAAGAACAAGGACGTGTTCACCTTTGATAGGTCCTGTCAAGATAGTTGCTTCACAACGTTTGCTCATTAATGTTTTTACTGCAAGCCGAGTGCCGCTAAAAGACTTCGGCTGGTTGATATTACGAAAGATGATAATCGGCACACCGATTTTCAATTGCAGTACATGCGGCTGCATCCCCGCCAGATCATGTGAATTTAAAAATTCTATGGGATAATTAGCTGCCTCATTTGCTTCCACAGTAGTGTCCACGGACCTGTATGTGACTGCCTCGCCTTGAATTCCAGACTGAATAATATGGTTAAGATAGTACACATCCTGGTTCTTGGCCGCAAGAATAGCTCATTCGCTCAGCCAATCGGGATTAGTGTACTTGGTCTGAATATTGGTAATCACCTCGACAATGAGTCCAGAGATTGGTGAACCCATTGGAGTGCCCTTGATCTGCTCGTATGTGGTCCCTTCGAAGGCAAAGAATGTCTTGAGGCAGTGCCCCATGAGTTCTATGAGATCCTGAGCTGTGGGCTGGCCATCGCCCCCGTCGTAATTTTGACGTAGCAAACCCAAACAAAAGTTCTACAACGTGGATCTGGTTTTAACACAACTGACGCCAACCCGGTCACCTTCATTGCTTCTTTCGAATCAGTGCTTCGTCAAACCGGCGTCACAGACGAGGTAAAGGACCTTCTTCGACATCAAGTCTCTTCACTTCTCATGTCGCACCGGAAAACCCATTCCCTGCTAAGAGATGAACAAAAGGCCCTAAGGGAGCTGAAAGCGGACACCGAAATTGTTATTCTGCCTGCTGACAAAGGCCGGTCAACCGTCATCCTCGACAAGGTGGACTACCGACGCAAAGCCCTCCTGCTCCTCAACGATCGAGAGTCCTACAAAGTCAGCGACACCGCCGGTCTAAAGTCCCTAGTGGCAAAGGTTAACAGAATTCTTGCTCGACTAAAAAAGGACAAGGTCATCACCGTCAAAGACTGGTATATGGCAAAGCCCACAGAAACCGCTATGGCGAGATTCTATGGTCTCCCAAGAGTTCACAAGCCAGATGTTCCCCTCCGTCCTATCGTCTCACTCCGAGGCACACCCACATACGGGCTTGCAAGCTGGCTATTTCAGAAGCTAAGATTCCTAACTGCAGGCTCACAAACAACGGTGCACTCAGCAGAACAATTCCTTGACAAAATAAGGGCAGTCACGATCGAACCGAATGAAAGGATGGTGTCTTTTGACGTCGTCTCACTATTCACGTCCATACCACAGGCCCTTGCGGTCGAAACGCTCAGTGACCTGCTACGTCAAAATTACGACGGGGGCGATGGCCAGCCCACAGCTCAGGATCTCATAGAACTCATGGGGCACTGCCTCAAGACATTCTTTACCTTCGAAGGAACCACATACGAGCAGATCAAGGGCACTCCAATGGGTTCACCAATCTCCAGACTCATTGCCGAGGCGGTTCTACAAAAACTCGAGAGACGACTATTCGAGGAGTACAAACCCAAGTTTTGGACACGCTACGTTGATGACACTTTCGTAATCATAGACCAGGATAAAATCAACTACTATGCGGAAGTACTGAACTCAATCATGCCCAATCTACAGTCCACGATGGAAGAGGAAGTAGAGGACAAACTTCCATTCTTGGATGTTCTCGTCTGCCGCCAACCAAATGGCGAACTAGCGACGTCGGTCTACAGAAAACCGACGAACACGCTGCAAATTCTCAGCTACAACAGCAACCACCCGCCACAACACAAACGAAGCTGTGTCCGCACGCTGTACCGACGGGTGGAAACTCATTGCAGCACGCCAGCCGCCAAACTGGATGAGATAAAGCTCCTCCGAGAACTTTTCAGAGCCAATGGCTATCCGCGGGCATTCATTGAACGAAGCCGGAGGCAGCCAAAGAAACGGAACGAGGAGCATAGTCAGCCAAACTCATGGCGGAGCATTCCGTACATTAAAGGGGTCTCCGAAGTAGTGGCTCGATCACTCGCGCCACTCGGAATAGGTGTTGCCCACAGGCCTGACTCAACAATCCGCCGGCAGGTGATGCGGTCGAAAGATCCGATCACTAAGCAGGAGATGTCGGCCGTTGTCTACCGACTTCAATGCAGCTGCGTAAGTTGCAACTACGTTGGGGAAACCGGCCGACGGCTGCAAACGCGAATGCACGAGCATAAGTTGGCCGTGCGAAGGTTGGACCCAAAGTCGGAGGTAGCAACCCATGCCGCGCAAATGGGACACATCTTCAACTTTGACGCCGTTGAGATTGTGGGCCGGGGCAGCGATCACACAGCAAGGCAAGTGCAAGAAGCCTGGATGTCCACCGACCGCTCTGTCAACCGCCACATCAATTTGCCTCCCCCTTATCTGACTTTACGAACCTTCTTAGCGGGGGACAGTCACGGCGCGGGACAATCGGGGCCGTCAGTCATCACCGCGGCCGACGGGGGCGATTCAGGTCACGGTGACATGCGGGTTGGATGCAGCCACACAGGCCGCATTGGACAAAGGGCGCCATAATAAGGAGTGCTGTGCACAGGACCTCCCAGTCCCTGAAGATGGGTAGACGAATAAACTACCCGAAACGTCGGATCTCAAATAAACCCCTCCCGGTGAACGCCCCCTCTTCTTTTAATATGCCACCTGGGAATCGGATTTTCACTACTATTGAAGTTCAACTGTGTTGTGGTTTTGCTCACGGCGCATATACACATCTAACGAAGCAACAGCAGATCGGTTGCATGTCCGCATTCCTTTCTCTTATTTCGTGTTGCAGGACAAATACGGCGTGATTACGTCAGTTGTTTCAGCAAGACTTCGTGTATATGTACGCAAAATCAAAGTATAACACATGCTTTTCATTCGCTTGAATCAGACCAAGCTGCGTCCTGTAGAATACATTCGTTTGCGTGATGCAGTTGTGAACGACGGTTTTACCATCCAGATATACAGATAGTTCACGTCATATGCATGAGTACTCTCAGGACACAATTGCTTATGTCCGCACGTACGGTCGTCCAGGCCTATTCACCGCATTGACATAGAATCCCGCTTGCGGCGACAATCAACAGTTCTACTTCCTGGGCAATCGCCGGCAGATAGGCATGACATCACAATACGTGTTTTTAGGCAGAAGCTGAAATAACTGATGAACTTAATGGGTAAACGCGAGGTGTTTGCGCCTGTGCGCTGCTGGATGTATTCGTGTAATGGCAAAAGATGGGTCTGCCCCACGCACATATCTTGATATGGCTCTGTTGCAAGATAACCTCCAACGATATCACTGATGTAATATGTGCTGAATTACCTGACGCCGACGTCTACAAGGATAAGCATAAAGTTGTGGTGAAAAATGTGATACATGGACCTTCGGTACATTGAATCCCACTTCCCCCTGCATGATAAATGGAAAATGCTCCATGAGATATCCCCGGGCATTCGTATGCAAAACAGCTACCGGAAGCGATGGCTATTCCTTATACAGAAGATAATCAGCATAAGACAGCGGCAAATTTGTAACACGTAGAACTGCGAACTGGTGACATACGAGTGGATAACCGCTGGGTTGTTCCATATTCGCCTTTTCTTTTGAAAGCATACAAAACGCACATAAACGTGGAATACTGCAACTTCATGAGATCAATTGAATATATTTTTAAGTAAGTGAGTAACTGCAGCGGCATGGCCGTTTTTGACCTGCACAGTATCGGACCGAAAGATAC